GTGTTGGTTGCAGAGTCACTGCCTCTGGCACCTGTTTCCTCCGTCTTCGGGAATTGCCATGAGGAGGTAGCCTTCCAGAGTCATTCACCCATCTCAACTGTACTTCGCTTCACCTTAGTTTGAGCTCTCTCCTTGCGAACTTTTCGTCTTTGAGTTCTGTTTTGCCGAACAAATGTCACCTGAAATTGCCATCAACATGATACCCAGGCATCAACCTAGACATGGTTTCAAACTGACGGTGACAGTCGCTCTAGCCTGTTCCTTCCAGCTGTAAAGATAGACATACTTATATATTGCTGTTGCAATACCGTTCTGGTCTCCTCAGTGAATCTCGGTTCTAGCGCAAGCTTGAACCAAGATTTAGGAGGTTGAGGACATCTTCATCACCATCGACAACAACGAATCTCAATGGAGCTATCGAATCTTCGTTATAAAACAGGATGATGCTTTTCGATTACGAAGAATTGCAAGCTTGTTCTCGAAACGAGACGTGGTTCAATGCGAAGGCTGTCTCTGTGCCTCTGTGGTCAAACATTAGTTGCTTTCAATATTCCTCGCTCAGTCTCTGTCGTGAGGCTGAGGTGTACAATCGTCCCAATACATGTTATCTTTTCCGCTTTTGTTCGGCTGTTGTAGCCTCCAAGGTGTTTTACACATCTTCGTACGACGTCCTGACCATCTTGTGAAGTTCGCTGGACCATTTTCCGAATTAGAGTGCGAGTGATCCCATATTGCCTCCACTCCGCCAAGGAAGCCAGGGATTCAGCGTGAGAGCTAATAGAGATTCGCTAAGTAATCCAACATAAGAATGAATGGGCTTCTGGTTAGGTGAGATTGGCGTTACAGGAGTTCAAATCAGATAAGATTACAGGGTGTCTGAGCTTCATTGTTCATCGAATCCTTTATGTGTTGCAAGAACGAACCTTGGGTTGGTTGAAGATTACCATCCCACACTACCAATCTGGCTGCCTCATTCAGTCGAAGCGAGCTGCTAGAGAGGTAAGCCCTCTCCATGTACCACATTCTTGTACCCATCCCTTAATAATTGCAGCGATTCGCGAAATGCCCACCATCCCGCTGAGTACTAGTTGGTCAGTTGTTGGACGGAGTATTGTATTTCCATCACTGCTTGTTCATTTGGTTTTTGTTATGACTATTACGTAATGTATGTCATCACGTAGACCTGAGGCAATGGCCTCCGCGCGAAACTATGTACACAATGAAGTAGGAAGGGGCGTTTCATTCTTAAACAACACAGGAAACAAATTATTTTTTTAATTATTTAATATTTTTGTTATTTAGTTGTCAGCGCACACGAGTCGCCGGCCCTACAAGGGCATTGAACGAAGGACTTATGCAGGACTACCACGTCGTCTCAGAAACCCAAGAACACCAGAGGCAGTCAGACACTCTCCGTATTGCGCGAACACACGACGCTTCACTGTGCCCGACAAAAAAGCACGCCCCACCATACCTTTTGGCATTCGTGGACTGAGTAGACTTCTCTGGCTAGGACGAAGGCCTTGCGCTACATATTGTCCGAGGGTACTTGCATGTATTTGCGAGCGCCTTTACTATATGCCAGAATGTCAAACGATATAAGTACCAACAATGTTTTGTTTCTTTTCTGAGCCAGCTTCTCTCTTCATAAAAACTCGGCATTATCGTGAACTTTTAAGTTGTAGTTTGTTCTGCCAAAGAGGTCAAAGACGCTCTTTGGCAGACAAACTACATCTTAAAACTTTTTTTTTCTTTTTTTTATATTCCCTTTACTGCCCCAACCATCCAGAACTGAGCCGGTTTTTAACCGACTTTTTTCTCCGTGGACAGCCATTTGGCTCAAATGTTGTCTCCTGAAGTAATAAAACTTCCGGCGTCCGCGCCACAGGCCAGCGATGATTTGGGGTATTTTGCCGTCAGCGCCCGTAGCGCGGGCACCAGAAGGTGTCGTGCCGAGCGGATGTGATATTCGTGCTCTGGAGGTCAAACTACCCCAGTAAACAAATTTTCAGCCAATTCTGTCCACGGAGAAAAAAGTCGGTCAAAAACTGGCCTGTTTTTGGAAGACTGAGGCAGTAAAGGGTAAATAGTGCCCTTCTTTCTTTTCTGATAATTGACTAGCCTGAAAGATCGGCGCGACTGCACGTCAGAGAAAAGGGACAAACTTCATGGATGGAATATTTCAGGGGACGCATTTGTACTTCGCTACATATCTCTTAGCGTACAATTCGATTTCGGTATCATGGGAAACGAACTATTTGAGTGCAGCCGAGTTAATACCCACAGAAGCTCGAGCCAAAGTTACGGCAATACTCAACATTGTAACAAGAATCGGGAACATTGCTGCTGCTCGAACGGTAGGCCTGTGCAAATAGGAGTGATGAGTTCAAGGTTACTAACTGCTCACCAAGTAATTTATTCTAGGTAGGCAAGTTTAAAGGCCATTGGGAGCCCGGAATCATGATTACAATCCTTTGTTCGAACATATTCAGTTTCATAATAACTTTCATGTTTCTCAGGGTGAGTTCTGCAACCAAAAATTCTTGTTCTCCCTAGTACGCGCCGCAGAATGAGGGAATCCTAGCTCGCAATCTCTTTATCCAGCTTTTCTGTTGATAATTCCCTCAACTGGTAAACATATGAGATTACCTGATTCATGAATCCTCTGAGCCTATAAAAACGAGGCGCGCAGATTCTTAAAGTTCTGAGCTTAAAGGCAGTTGGCACGATAAATTCCCAAGACGACTAGGATCAATACTCCTGGCAGGATAGAATTCCGCGACCCTGGGCAGGCGCTGCATAGCGGTTTCCCCGAGGAAGGTGCCCTTATAAGGGCCCTATCAAGCCACAACTTTACGTCCCAAACGCCCGCCCACAAATGGACGACCGTTCCTGACGCTCGTATTCATTCATTTGCTAAGCAAATTATGAAGCGAAGGGATTGGTATGAAGCGGCCGTGATGCTGCATGCATACATGGGTACACATATGCAGCCGTATCTTCGGTAGCGGTGATTGGCA